TCCGGCTTGTCGCGGGGAACCAGGAAGCAGAATCCACCCTTGGTCTCCGCATTCACACCGCTGGCGGAATGGATCGCTATGTCGCGGTGCCCGGTGGACTCGGCGAGGAACTGGAGGTCGGCGGAGTTGCCGCGCGTCTTCTGCAGCGCGACCAGGGCGCGCTATCCCATGCGCGGCAGGAACATGTCACGTTTGAGCGGGCGCCGAGCATGTGAAATACCAAGCAGAGTCTGGGTGTCCCACGAGACGGCGTTGAGGCCGTCGGACTGATGCTTGGACCAGGGGGGTCATTGGGCGCTGAAGCCACTGCGCGGTCGCCCATGGGCCCGCGAGGGCAGCAACAAGATCGGCGAGGAAGACCTCATGTCTTTCTGGCGGGAATGCCAGCAGGAGGAACAGCGCCATGCCAAGGTGCTTTCATAACTGCCTCGGGAGTGGGCCCAGCGGTGACGACAACGTTGGGCGATCCGTTGACCGACAAGTAGCCGCGCGCGCGATGGATCCTGACGTCGAACTGATGGCGCTTGGCGACGATGAGATTGCTGAGTTCCTTGAATTGAAGTTCTGGTCGAAACATACTCGGGGATTTGTCCACGAAGACGCAGAATGGAGTATAATCTTGGCAAGGTTGGACGGAACATCTGCACCATCCTTTTCCACGCCGAGGAGCTTTGCGTAGAGCAGCAGCGCGGAGAAGAGCAGGGGCGCCACCGCCAGTGATCGCAAATGACATTACCTGTCCAGGACCAGAAGCGTTGAGGCAAATCCGGTTGACGTCGACCTCCGCAGCTCGAAACCAATCAGCGAGGGCCCAGCCACTGCGCGGTCGCCCATGGGCCCGCGAAGGACGTCGAGCTAATGGCGCTTGGCGACGATGAGATGACTGAGTACCTTGAACTGAAGTTCTGGTCGAAACATACTCGGGGGCTTGTCCACGAAGACGCAGAATGGAGTATAATCTTGGCAAGGTTGGACGGAACATCTGCGCCATCCTTTTCCACGCCGAGGGGCTTTGCGTAGAGCAGCAGCGCGGAGAAGAGCAGGGGCGCCACCGCCAGTGATCGCAAATGGCATTACCTGTCCAGGACCAGAAGCGTTGAGGCAAATCCGGTTGATGTCGACCTCCGCAGCTGGAAACCAATCAGCGAGGGCATACCTGAGCGGGCCTGTATTAAATTCGGCCTCTGCTCCGCACCAACATGTAGCAGCATCTGATCCCCGATCCCAGTTCCCAAGGACGTTGACGTCGGTGGAGGAGGGGGGTCTTCTGCGGTGGCGATGGAGCGCTTGGTGGAGGCAGCGCCTCCTCGTAGCTCAGCAGTGAAAGCTCCTGCTCGGTCGGCACGCGTCTTGAGCAGGGTGGCCTCTTGCTCGCACTTCTCATGGTGCGCGCAAAATTCAGCGGTGGTCCTGGTGCTGGTCTCGACGAATTAAGCTTGAACTCGGGCCATGGCTTGCGTGGCGTGATCTCGAGGGGGCGGTAGCCTTGTCAATGTGTTATTGAACAGTTTTGAAATTGTTCCGCTGGTGGGCTGGGGTTCCTTCTGCGAGACGCTTGGCGGCGCCAGATGCCCATGACATTGCCTTGCCATCAACGCCTGTTCCGTCAGTGTCGCTTGCGCCGAGCTCCTGGGAGTGACCGTGCCGACGTGCGGGACATGAGGCCCGCACCCGCCTCGGGAACAGAAAGCGCCCGACATGAACGCCAGCTGCAGGCGAACGCAGTGGCGAATGTTGCGAAGCTCGACCTCGCAGGGGCGAGGGAGGCGTAGAAATGGGTCCTGCGCTGGCGCTAGACCAAGGCTCTCCGAACCCTGCCACGGGGTGAGACAAAAACTCGAACCAAAATGGCGACGGAGGAGGAGGAGGAGGAGGAGGAGGAGGAGACGCGCAGGTAGCCTGAGGCGAACGTGTCTCCTGAGGCTCGGCCGACGGGCGCTAAGCGGGATATCTGGCCAACGCGGGAAAGAGCGCGGGCAGCGGCCAGCGGTGCACTCGGCGAGCTGGACGGAGTAGGAGGAGGAGGAGGAGGAGGAGGAGGAGGAGAAGCAGGAGGTGGTGGAGGAGAAGGAGGAGGAGGAGGAGGAGGAGGAGAGGGAGGAGGAGCAGGATAGGTTCACGACCAGGAGGAGGGGAAGGAAACACCACCGCCACCAGCAGGACGTGGCCACAGCTCAGCTCCTGCCCCACGAGGGTTTGCTGGACCAGAGCCCGCACCCCCCACCCGCCGCGCGGAGGCGGGCGGGGCCGCCGCCGATGGGACCCGTTGCCGGCTAGGACGCGGTGCCGATGGGGAACACCAGCATGGTGCCTGCTCCCACGCGCGGCCAGTGTGTGTCGGTTCCTCCAAGTGTTTTGATAGTAATACTGCACCTACGGACCTAAGAATTTGACTGGCAGACGCGGCATAACCCACTACAGGTGCGAAAAATCTGGTTTTTCAAAATGAATGGTCAAATATCTTTCAAATCTTAGCGAAACCGACCAAACGTTAACACTTGGTTCCCAGGCCTCGGGTGGGTTGACCATTTTAATATTGGCGTGTATCCTCAGATTCGGCCTCTCGAGCCCGCTCTCGGGCCCTTGGGCCCATCAGACGTGCATCTAGGACATAATGAAGTTTTGTTGTTGTTTTTGTTTTAATCTTGAAGCTCGGGGGCCCACGGATTGAGCTCGGGGGCCCACGGATTGAGAAGGTCAATCCGCCTGAGGAGGGAGATGAGGACAACGGGACTATGGAGAAGACACGTTCCCTGTCACACCCACCTCCTGCACGCTCAATCTTCCTCCCCTCCCCCTTCGCATTCACCTTCTCCGCTTGGCCGTCCCTTTCCGTCTCCTCCCCCGACCGCCGCCTTCAACAGCAGCGGTCCCACCCGTTCCCTCCCTGGTTCCCTCCACGGTGTGAGTCGCCGAGATCAGGTGGTGACGCAGGCAGAAGCACAGGGGACAGATCAATCACGCATGGAGTTTTGGAAAGAAGAGGTTGGAGGACGCAGGGAGGAGGAGGGAATAAGGAAATGGAAATGCAAGAGGGGAGAGAAAGAGGGCGATGAGGAGGGCAGGAGGAGGCAGGGGAAATGGAGAAAGAAGAGAGAGAGAGAGAGAGAGAGACATATAACAAACATGCCTAAACCAATATATATGAAACAGAGGGTAGACATAGTAGGAGAAGTGAGAGAGCGAGAGAAAGAAAGAGAGAGAGAGAGAGGAGAGAGGGGGAGGAGGAGCAGCAGGAGGAAATAGGTCGAGGAGGCGACGCGAGAAGGACGCAAAGGCGGAGTGGCGCTCGAGCGGCTGCCAGGCCGGCGGTGGTGCACGCACGCTCATGCCCGTGGTCTCTTTTCCACCACCACCACCAGAAGGTGGAGGGGGGAAGGAGGTGGAGGACGAGAAGGAGGAGGAGGAGGAGGAGGAGGAGGAGGAGGAGGATAAGGAGGAGAAGGAGGAGGACCCGTTTCCCCCTCCTACTTACGGTGGTGGTGGTGGAAAGCAGGCCCACCACCGTGTGCACCCGTGCAAGCTCTCCTCGCGCTGCGGCAGGACAACGACCACGGGCCAGGAGGCCCCCAAACGGCCTCCCGAGAGATGCCAGGACGCCTCCCAGAGAGGCGTCGGATCCACGGCCAGCTTTGGCCCCGAGGGTGCCCCGAGAAGCCGTCGAGAGGCCCCCTCCTCCTCGCTCGCTGCGAGCACGCCAACTGAGCAGCAGTGATGCGAATGGCCTGAGCAGCAGTGATGCGAATGGCCTGACAACGCCAGTGAGCGAAACGATTGGCTGTCTTCAGCCTCCGGGGGTGCCCTCCCCGCGGCCTGCTCATTCCGCCTGCCCGGGGGCCCAGGCTGAGGCCAGGGCGCATTCTTGCCACCACTTCCGTCCCAAAGCGACCCCCCTTTCACGTGCTCGGTTTCCGAGCGCCACTCTCAGACACCTCTCCGGGAGCCTACTGGGCCGGTTTTGGGGGCCTCTCGGGCCTCTTCATGATGGGCTAATCTTGACCGCACTTCCGGCCACCAACGGTCGTCCCGGATGCCTCTCCACCTCAGAGTCTCATACACCAGAAACCACCAACAAGCAAACAACATTGTAAAACACATGGTGTTCTGACGATTCTGTCCTTAATCTGGCTGTTCCTGGCGCCTCTCTTGGAGCTCCCATGTATTTCCGCGGGCTCGTGCGGCCATCTTGAAACATGATGATGCTCTCTGCGGTCGCCCTGACACCCTCTCGGGGCCCTCCACACCCGCCTGGACTCCTTTTTGGTGCTGTCGTGAGCGGTCTTGGGCGCGCCCATGGGGTGCCTCTCTGCATCGCGTTTCTGTTTCCTCTGCCGTTTTCGACACCGTTGGGTGCACTGTTCGCCCGTTTTCGGGCCCTCTTGGGAGGTCCTCTGGGGGTCTCCTTGGGATCTTCTCCGCGTCTTCTTGGACCCTCTGAGCCGTGCTGGACCCCCTCCAAAAAAGAACTGGGCTCCGAGAAGAAGTGGGGCGGCGGTGTCTGCCACTTCAGGGGCGTTCACTTGAATAACGACCAAGACATTGGAGGCTGTCTTCAGCCTCTGGGAGCCCCTGCCCAGATTTGCGACTGGAGTTTTTTGGTAACGGATTTCGGGCGCGTCAGTTTCTCTCCGGTCAGGACCGACAGGGTCGAGTTTCGGTGATGAGAAGACGGTACGCGGCGCGCAGGTCCAAGCGAGGGTCCAACAACTTTGCCGGCTCGCTCGTTATCGGAATTCACGACTGAAGGCCGAATTTCGGACGCGCCCGGTTCGACAACAGCGTTTCCAGAAATGTTCGGTAACGGCGGATCTGGGTGAACGGCCCCAGCGTCCTCCAAAAAAGGGCTCGGGATGAAAACCGGCTCTGGGAAGGGGTCCAGACCAGGGGGTCGACGCTGTGCAAAACAAAACACGACGTTGGAGATCTGGGCAAGACCGCCCTTCCCGTGCCATCAGCTCCGCCGGGGACTGGCAGCAGCGTGGTGCCGAGCATGCTGCTCTTCAGCTCCTGGGAGGTGGGGTTGGGAACTGTGCGGAGAGGGATGTGGAACCCGAGGGCGAAGAAAACAGACCACGGGGGAATATCATGACATTAGAATGAGCAGGAGGGGGATCCTTTGTTTTACCTCGCAATTCGGAACAGATGCAGAGAAGCACGGAGGGAAATAAAGCGCGTCGTGCCTCTGCAATGCCGACTGCGAAAAAAAACAGCAATGGCCCGCACCGGACTCGGGAAACGGGCACAGAGGGGAACGAGGAGGAGGAGGAGGAGGAGGAGGAGGAAGACGACGACGAGGAGGACGAGGAGATGGGGGGGCGGTAGGAGGAGGAACGCGACGAGGCGGCGAGAGCGGGGGAGGGAGAAGGAAGGGGAAGGGAGGGCAGGGGGGTAGGAGGAACGCGAAGAGGCGGCGAGGCGGAAGGAGCGGACGAGAACGGGGGGGGGGAGAAGGACGGGGGAGGGAGGGGGGGGGGGGTAGGAGAAGGAACGCGAAGAGGCGGCGAGGCGGAAGGAGCGGACGAGAGCGGGAGGAGGGAGAAGGACGGGGGAGGGGACAGAGTGGAAGAGGGTGGAGGGGGCAAGCTGGGCGCGCTCGCGCCATTCAAGTGGGGGATCGACTTCAGAATTGATTTGCCCCAGAATTGATTTTTCTTGTCGAATCCACGGGCAAATCGTAGAACCTTCGCAGATCTTCGAATGGTTGGCGCATTTATGTTGAAGAGTCGACGTGAAAATCAATTCAGGGGTATTTCAATTCGGTAGTCGATCTCCCAGTCGAGCCATAGCTGGCATCCTGCCCCTCCCGCCCATCCGTTCCCATTCCACCAACGCGTTTCATAGCGGACCTGGAGCTCCAAGGGGGACCCCATGGTTTCATGCACAATCGGGACAAATGTGAGCTGCAAACACTGGAACGGAAGATGGCGGATGAGCAGGGGCCGACATCAGGGACAGGTTGACGCGAGCACGTTCGCTCGAGCCACGCCAAAAGCCTCTCGATCCGTCTACTCTGGAGAGCCAGCCTGGCTTCCAGCGCTCGACCGTGACCTCCACCATGCTCGTGAGTCGTGCCCCGATCCTCGGGCCGCACAAGTACCTGTCCTCTTTCTTGGTGCCTTCCTGGTACTGGATAGCCTTCCGCTTATACGTCAACCAGGTCTTAGGGTCTCCATCCCAGCCTGGCACCTTCTCCCGATTATCGTCGCTCGATTTCATCACAAGGTTCCGTGTCCACCACGGGCTCCTGCTACCATGCAAATCTGGTTGGGTATAGCGCAGTGGTACCTTTCTTAACTCTCTACCCCTCGATCTTCGTCTGACCAGGAGGAGGAGGAGGAGGAGGAGGAGGAGGAGGAGGATGGGGATGGGGAGGAGGAGGAGGAGGGGGAGGAAGAGGAGGGAGGAGGAGGAGGAGGAGGAGAGGAGAGGAGGAGGGAGGAGGAGGAGGAGGAGGAGGAGGAGGGGGCGGAGACGGAGGAGGAGGAGGAGGAGGAGGAGGAGGAGGAGGAGGAGGTCCTCTCCAGGAGCCTCTAAGTAAGCACGTAGGCCCCTAAGCACAGCGCAGGGGCGCTCGCTCGAGAGAGAAACGGCAACGGGCACACACAGCAACCGCACGCTCACCTCACCTGAAGTGCTCAAGCTCGTCAGTAAGGAAATCTGCACCGAGGGCCCCTCCGGGAGGGGTCCACATATAGCCATATGTCTGCGATGCGGGTGCGCGCGCTTTCTTCGAGGCACTTCAAGCCGGACCCATACTGAATTCACTAATTCGTGAAAACTGTGTAAACACTCTGTCCTCTGTTCCCTCTCCTATACAACGGCCTCATAACAGAGGGGCAGTGGATTCCAACCCCTCCCCACTGTTTCCCCAGTGAGGTTCCAGCGGGAACTCGGGTCCCACGCGGCAGTTCGGGAAGATCTGGGCAGTCCAAAACGCCCCTCGGCGATGCGCAACTGCTGGACAGAAACCCGAGGCTGGGAAGCCGTCGAAAGCAGACGAAGACGCCCAGACACCTCGAAGCTCGAATGGCCGATCTCCCCCTGAGTCTAAGTATCCCCCCCTTTGACGTTGCCCTGGACAGGAGTCCACGCAGGCGCGCGCCCGCACGGGCTCCAGCGAGAGGTTGCTGTCCGCCGCCATGACGCACTGGTCGAACCGCAGCACCACGTAGCCTAGCTCGAGCCTCTCCGCAGGGCGAGCGCTGGGAAGGTCGGAAGCTGTCGGGCGTCTTCGAGGATCTAAGCCCATGGAGCTCCTATAGCAAAATCAAGGATGAAGGGCGCTGCAAAGGATCGCAGAAATTTGGCTCCAGGGAGGATGGTCGAGGATTTCGAGATGTCGGGAGCTCTCGATGATCGAGAAGCGCGGGCGCTCGGGGGTGTCGAGAAGGGGATGGGGGAACTCGGGCGCTCTCGATGACCGAATGCCGAGAGGATGATCGAGGATCGATGTTTTCGACCTGGTGGAGAAAACGCGTTCCACTACCCGCAAAGTAACTACTCGCAAACGGCTTGGATCCGCCGCGGGGAATGTACGATACACTACACAGAAAAATGTTTCTTTTATCGAACGTTTGCGAGTAGGCACTTTGTGAGCAGTGGGACGCGACCGGTGACACTGGAGGCGACAGCGCAGGCGGGAGCCGAAGCGCGAGCGCGGGGAGGAGGGATGGGAAGAGACGGCCGGGGAGGGGGGCGAGCCACGGCCCGGGCAACCGCACGTGAGCCCTACCCGTGCAGGTCAGATCCCATCGTCGCTCCGCAGGCAAGCCGCGCAGGGCAATCCAAACATGATCCCCCCTCCTCCCATGAGTCGTCCTCCTCCTCCTCCTGGTGCTCCCCCTCCTGCTCCCCCTCCTGCTCCTCCTCCTCCTCCTTCTTTTCCTCTTCCTCCTCCTTCTCCTCTTCCTCCTCCTGCTAGTCATCCTAGCAAGAGGGGTCGGCGGCACTGTCCGCAGGGCCTTCGCAACCTTACCCCCCACATCCCACGAGCGGATGGCTGTACCAGCGACGTGGGCCGCCAGTGCGACGGCGCTCTGCGCAGCCACCTGCCCCCCCTGCCGTCCATAGACCCGCCCCGGCCAAGTGCTATGATTGCTACATCGCGGGCACCACGCGGCCTTGGACAAAGACTCACATGCATACGAACAACGAACGAATCGCTGGAGGCATTCCCACAATGTGGGCACGAACCGCTTAGTGACCTACTCCCATAACGGCTCCTCCTTCTGTGGCCCAAGTGCGATGCCTGCCACAGCGGTACGGGTAACAATTACACAACGTAGAATATGGCGAATCATCTCGGCAACATCTTCCACGAGACGCGCAACTGCCTGCACAAGGATCCACCATTTCGGTCAGACCTTTGCTCCGTGCGCGTTCGACAGAAGCTCGCGGCAACCAGACTGGCCGAATCTGCTAGGATGTCGTTGCGATTGTGACTTTTGTCGAAATTGCGCTTGTTTCGCAGATGTCGCCCAGCGCACACATCCGAACGAGAAAAGGAAATATCGGCTGAGACCTCCTCACGAGTCGTACTTGAATTGGCCATGGCGTGCAGGTGACGCTGGCGGTGTGCTGCCTGCGCCAAAGCGAGGGCGCGGGTTGGACGGACTTTCGGCCATTGCGCCGAAGTTCGGCCGAACTGATATGAAAAAGCGCGCCGCGCGAGACGCGAAATATAAAGCGGGGCCCTAGTTTCAAGCTGCCCTTCCCTCCTTCCACCAGGGGAGGGGCTTCCGAAGCTACCCCCCCTTCAGCAACCTGTCAGCCCCAGCAGCCTCTTCCCCCTGACGCCTAACAATACCCCTCCTCGTCCAGCCCCTTCCTCTGCCCACCCAGCTCCCTTTCCCCTCGGCTCCCACAGTCCCTGGGACCCGTAGAGACGATGCCCACTTGGTGCAAAGCAGAACAGGAAGGCGAGGATCAGAAAGAGAGGCGCACCAATTGGAGTCTGTGGCTCGGAGTGACAAATGCCCGCCGCCCCCCCCTCCTCGCCCAACTACACCTGATAGTATCCGACCCATCGGGCCTGATAACCCCTGATCCTCCCCCTCCCACTCCAGCTGCTCATGCTTCCCATCTGGCTGCTCCTGCTCCCCTGGCTTATCCTGCTGGTTCTTGTCCTGCTCACCGGACCTCTTCTACTCCTTCTCCCCCTGATCCGCCGGCACGGCCCCTCCGCCTCCCCCTCCTCCGCCTCCTCCTCCTCCGCCTCCTCCTTCCCCCCCGCCTTCTCCCCCCCCCCCCCCTGCCGTTTGGGTTTTCCTAAAGTCATGCTGGCGTTTGATGCAAGAGTCCGCGGCAACTTTCAGCGTTGATCTCAGGTGAACCGCGCGGATACAGCTGGCCCGCAGCAGCTCTCAAAGTTTGAAAAGGTGCTGACCCCGTCACTGACGATTATATCCTGCTCCTGGAGTAGGCTGTGAACTGCCCGCTCCCAGGCTGTATGGTGCCTGATCTTGGCCGACAGCAAGAACTACTCCCGACAGCAAAAGCCTTGGTAGACCTCGGCCGTCATTTGCGAACGTGCGATTGCTTCCCCTCCAACGTATCCCCTCCTTCGCCGTCAGTTCGCCCTCCTTGGGATAGGCAGCAAGTGAGTACACGTGCGAAGTCTAAGGAGGTCGAGGCGAAGGTCAAAAGTCTCCAGGGGGAGAACGCAAGGCTGCGGCAGCAACACCGCAGTCGGAGCCGATCGACGACGACTTTGGTGGTGGGGCGGTTGGGGCTGGGGCGCCTTCGAGCCTCTCCCCTGCTGCGGAGGCGACTCAGTGCAGTCGGCTCAAGGAGGTGGAGGAGCAATTGCAGACCTTTTCGAAGTCGGGCTCGGATGGGAAGGTTCAGTCCTTATGCCGCGAACTGCAGGCCGACAGGCGGGACCTTCACGCGAAGTTGCAGGCTTCTCGCCCGAGGCACGAGCAGGTCCAGACGGCCTATGAGGGGCTCAAGAAGGCGCAGAAGCGGGCCGTCGCCAGCACGGAGCTGATGGAGGAGCTGAAGGCGTGTTTGGCGAAGTCCAAAGGGAAGCTCAGCCAGCAAGACCAGGAGGTGCCGGGCATCCAGCAAGGCCTGCCCGAACTCACGCTCGCGACCGTCAAGCCCCAGTGCAGAGTTCGACCACGCCTCGCCGATCTTGGGCGCCAAGGAAGCCTGCCACCCTGACAGGGTTGCCCCTGCGTTGCCTCGGTCGGTTGAGGAGCTTCGCACTGCTGCTGTGCGTACTACCACCAGATCGCTGTTCGCTCGTGCGTTCGACGCTCGCGGGAGTGGGGGGTCAGCAGCAGCAGCAGCGGTGCTGAAGTGGTGGCTGAGAATGTATATTCTTTGTTCGAGTTGACGAGATAATGGCGATGGCTACCGAAACCGCGGCGATGGGGCCCGCTTCTGTCCCTGCGGTGGGTGCTGAGACCGTGGTTCGGTGTCGCGCGAGTATGGGCGACGAGTTCGAGTTCTTCGATCACTTAGACGAGATGGGCGCTCTAGGTGACAGGCTCGCTGGTGGCGGCCCGCCCGAGCCCAGCGATATCGACCCACAGATGGTCCGCAACGTGCATTCCTCGGGGCTGGGGGTCACGCCCAAAACTTCAACGTGGATGGGCCTGCGTCGTCGTCGGTGACATCCTGTACAAGCGATGGTGGGCCTGGTACTTCCGATATGTCCTATGGGTGCGGGGCCGGCTCGGCGCTGCCTGCGATTCCCCCCGCGCTCCCTTAGCGGGGTGGCCGACAACCCCGCCCTGGCGCACCGTCCTGGCGCAGCAGCACCAAACGCCGCGTCGGCCACCCCCTCCAGCAAGAACCTCGGCCAGGATGGCTGCAGCACCGCCAGCAGGCGCAGCATTTTCAACGCGGATGGGCCTGCGTCTTCGTCGGTGACACCCTGTGCTGCCAGTCCAAAAATTTCCAACGCGGGTGGGCAGGGCGTTCTCGGACCTGGCTGAATTTACTAAGGCAGTTCTGAGCTGACCTGGTCTGGCCCGTGGCGAGGCACGCGGAAAGCGCACACCGCCGAGAGGAGGAGGAGGAGGAGGAGGAGGAGGAGGAGGAGGAGGAGGACCAGGCGACGAGTCTGGTCACGGTCAATGAGGAGGGCCCTGGGCCCCCCCCAAGCTTTTCTGGAGGGCTTGTTTGGCCCAGGTGCTGGCGGCATAGGAGCACGAGACACTAGCGGGCAACCTTCCTGCGCTGCATGGGCACGCGAAGGACCTGGGGCCCCACGGGATCCTCGCGCCTGCTGTTTCCACTGAAGTAGATGGCACGCCGGGAGGCGTCGCTGTAGTGACGCCAACATTGTCGTAAAAGCACCTCCTTGTTTTGACAGTCCTGTGTTGGCTGCAGGTCGCGTCGCGGCGGCCGAGGTGGCCGTGGGAGTGCCCGGTGGTTTGGTGATCGTGGCCGCCCACCTCTTCTCAGGAGTGGCCCACCACCAGAGAACGAGGCGCTTCTGTTCACGCTGGTGCAGTTGTTAGGTAAGCTGAATGGTGCAGGCTGTGATTAGATAGTCACGGGCGACTGGAACATCACCGAGCGCGGATGGATGAAGTCAAAGGCTGTCTGGCAGCGTGCTGGGCCATGCTTCCGTCTGCCTCAACTTGGCCACCAAAGTGCGACGCCCTGTGGCTTGGACGGCGCGCGCGTTAAGGTGCATGGTTCAACTCACCTCCAATTAATCAGCCGTTCAGCGACCATATAGGGCGTTCGAGAACATTCCCAAGGTCTCTGTGTTCAGATTGTCGGCTGACGCAGGTTTGGATGCCTAGGTCCAGCGGATGCTGGATGACAGGGATATGCGACAGCGCGCCCATGGTCGCAAGAGCCAAGCCCGATGGAAAGGTTGGGCGGAGAAGGCAACTGGCGCTCATAGGTTGATTCGACTTCAGGCTGCTCAGGAGATATTGAACGCTGGATCTGAACAATCGCCAATTGAGTTGGCCGGCAAGGAGGTGAGAGCATAGAAAAAAGGCTTGGCGACGCAACGATGCCAAGCCGTGTCATCTGTCCAAAGGTCCTAGACAGTGGCCTGCTGGATCCTGCATCTCCATCGATATGATGCTTGGCGCCATATTGTCATTATCGTGGAAGATGGCAGCAAGCCTGAGCATAATACAACCCGATGGCACTGTGATTTCATTATCCAAAAAGGTTTGGCGGACAACGCCAGTTTTTCATGAAGAGTCAAGAT